ATAGCAAGGATTCACACTTTAAAGAGAAAATGAAAAAAAAAACATTAAATAAAATACTAATGCTGCAGTTCAATAAGGCGTGTGGTCACCTCCGACAGCTAGGCACGCTGCACAGCAATTTACCATAATTGCTATGAGATGATGAATGAGTTGTGGGCTCAAACGGTTCCAAGCTTCTTGGAGAGCTCTCTTCAGTTCTGTAACGATGCTTGGTGGGTGAGAAAGGGCTGCAATTTGTCTCCCGAGCATATCCATACATTTTGATAGGATTTAAATCAGGGGAGTTCGCAGGCCGCGACATGCGCTGGATGTTTTCCGTTTCAAGGAAGTCATCAATCAGCACAGCTCGGTGACATGGCGCATTATCATCCTTGAATATGAAGTCAGAACTGACAGCACCTCGAAACAAGCGAACATAAGGCACAAGAACTTCGTCTCTGTATCTGTGAGCAGTCACAGACCCCGTGTCAAAGAAATGGAGGTCTGTGTGGCCATCCATCATGATAACTGCCCATACCATTACTCCCCTTGATGGAAAATGATGTCTTTCCGTTATGCCTCTTGGTTCAAAACGTGTTCCACGTTCTCTCCACGTTACCCGCCGAGAATCACTACTCAGACTAAACTGGGACTCTTCACTGATCATCACATTGGCCCACTCTCCCACACTCCAATGTTGATGCTTCAAACTCCAGTTCAAACGAGCGCGTTTATGCGCAGACGTGAGGGAAATGAAAACTGCTGGTCTTCTGGCATACAGGCCAGCATGATTGAGTCTCCTGTAAACAGTTTGTCTCGAAATTCGTATTCCTTTGGCGACTGTGAGCGCCGAACCCAGTTCTCTGGCAGTACTGCCCCTCTTACGTCGCGCACTTATTACCAGATATCGGTCTTGGCGAGGGGTTGTGACTCTTGGTCGACCTGATACTGGTTGTCGGGTAACATCTCTCGTTCTTTCAAACCTCTGCCACAGTCTTGAGATCACAGACTGGTCCACATTCAGAATTCAAGACACTACGCTTTGTGATAGTGAGGATTCCAGCATTCCAACGATTTTTCCTTTCGTAAACATGTCCAATTGGCGTCTTTGTGCCATCATTCACCTTGTTTGATGGTTAACAACGTTCCTTCGGACAGCAGTTTCACGAAACTTGTCTGAACTGCCAATGCTGCGTGAATCGGTTTCTCCGCGTTCCGACATGCGCCGGTGTTTCGCGCAGGACGTAGTCAACTGAAAAGTTTTGCATAAACCCAAAGTTTCTTCTTCACCCAATTATTATCTGCAAGAAATTTGGAATAATTTTACGAATATTTACTATATGTTTTTCGCATTTTACAATTGATGTTTAACTTTTGGACACCAGTAATATATATATATATATATATATATATATATATATATAATTAAATTAGATCTAAAATTAACTCCCTTGTCCACTTCTAACTTTTATTTTCCCGTTACATCTTCAAGTATTAAATTTATTACCCAGTTCGGGAATGGATTACACATGTCTTTAAAAGATCTCGCCACTCCTACCATTAATTTTTATTACCTAGTATTTCAAATATACCTCTTCAATAAGGAATGTACTTGAACAGACATATGGCTTCTGAAGAAGCCGCGGACTCTTGAGTTTTAACACGTGTCCGTCTCTCTCTCTCTCTCTCTATCTTACAAACAGATTACAAAATGATCTCATGGAATAAAGACGTTTAAAATAAAAGGTCTTGAAGTTCACTAAAAAAACCATGACACACACACACACACACACACACACACACACATATATATATATATATATATCTACCGAAATATTATTTTCAATTATATTTATCGTAACAAGGTATTAGTTAGTGATAAATCTAATATATATTTAAATATTAATAACTTTATTAAAAATTGTATGGAACACAGTTACCCTCCTAAATTTATAAAAGTTATATAACAGTTAAATAAAAAAAGTTTTCAGTTCTACAGTTTATAGATAGATGGCGCCTCTAGCTAAGTAATTTTGTAATAATATATTTATTAAAAATTAATCGTTTATGCCTGGATGGTATTTTTATTTTCTATAAATTTTAAAATAAAATATAGAATTTTTAAAAGTATACATATAGTAATAATGCTACTTTATCAATACATAATAATTATATGCGTCACTGTTATTGTCCATAAGAGGCGAATATGTATTCACGTGGTAAGTCATCTATTAGTTTAGCTTTGATTTTAAATATTTTAGCTATTATTAAAGGCTATAACATTATAGTATTACATTAATAGATTATGGTTTTATCTATAATATAGTTAAACTTCTCTAGAAATTTATTGCTTTCCCTATGGCCCAGAATAGTGGCAAATTCAGGTGAAGGTTGGCTGGCCAAAAAACTTTGTTTAAACCTCCATTCCTAGTTCCTAAGGCTGGGAGTTTGCTTTTAGTATTTCTGTGGCTAAATCGTTTCTATTATGACTATAGTTATCTTAGGTATATAACTATTTTTTGTATATTTTTTGAAATATATATATATATATATATATATATATATATATGAAATACGACGATGCTGTAATGATGGATTTTTTGAATGGAGCATGCAGTGGCATTCTTGTGGTTAATTAAACTTTTTATTTCACATCTTGAACACATAAAGCAAAGGACGATACACACAAATACTAGCTGCAACACACTACATGATGACAAGAGAGAAGAAGCGCGCGTAACCGTGTGTTCAGTTTTTATAGTGGCGGTGAAGGTCGTACGACTCTTTTGTAACAGGAGTCGTGATTGGCTGCAAATGCGCGGGAGCAATTAGATTAAGATTTAAGATTATGCGCTCGTACATTTAGATTAAGATTATAACAGTCTTAGGCGAAAGAACTAGGAAATAATTTCACGGGGTACAGTTAAGGAGAGTTAGAAAAAGTCATTACATATATATATATATTATTATTATTATTATTATTAGTCTACACAAACTATATTTAAAAAGCAGATTTGAAAAAGCGTGAAACGGAAATTAGAAGAAAAAAAATGTTCATAAAAATATAATTAACTAATTCTAAAATTTAAAAGTACAAATTGAATTAAACAATTAGTAAAAAACATAAGAGATTCCTGCTTCATAATGAAAACAAATGCAATGTAGGAATATAATTTTTAAAGCTTAGAATTTATATGATTTATTTTGTGTTTTCTTACGAAATCAGATGGTTTCATAATTATTTCCTTCGTGATTCCAATTGCAAATCCAGATTTAAAAAGCAAATGCCTTTTTTATTCGATCTCTGAGAATTGTTAGAACTATCACGACAGACAAGAGACAACAAAATATTCCAGAGTTAAAACTTTTCACAGTTATTATACAAAAATGTTTATTTTCCATGAAAATTTATTCTCTTGCATCAGTGCATGGAATTAAAAAAAAGATATTTCAGTTGTAACCTAGAATAAAAACATGAAAAGATAATATTTATCTTTTTAAATAGATATGCAAAAATTTTTCAGTATTATATAGCTAATATATGTAAGCACAAAGATGAAAATAACGAATTTATATTAAATTAATATATTTATACTAGTTCTTCGAAACAATTATGAAAACTATTATAGGATCTAGAGTGAGCTATATCGCAATTTGACGTATACTTTGCGACATGTGTTTTATTAAACTTTACTTAAAACAATTACTAATTAATTTTTGCTCATTTAATTTTACTTCAATTTTTATATTTCATCACATTTGAAATTAACACAATAACTTCATTTCATCACATTTGAAACTTGTATTTTTATTAATATTGACAAAAGATGAATACTCAGTGTTATATACCAGCAGGTATATTTGCCGTCTTATTTATCGTTGGGATACGTATAAAATCTTTGATTTATCTGGTAAAAACAAATTATATATATATATATATATATATATTATATATATATAAAAATTTTAACAAAATTTTGAAGATCAGGAGCAATATTTTTTAAAAAAATGTTTAGTTTGTAGCAGAGAATTTTTTTAAAAATTGTAATATATTTGAACAATTTTCCCTTTTCCTGCAAATAAGATTTCTAATAAAATTCCGTAATTCTTTCTTACTTTGTGACGGGTGCTTACGCGTTTCACTAACCTTCTCTCGCATTCTTTAAATATTTTATTTATTTCAACCAATCTCCACCGAGAGCCAAAAGTGTGATTTATGCAAATAAGATATTTTATAAGTTCAGGTTTAGCAAGTTCGAAAATGATATAAAAGGGGGAAATGAAATAAAGAGAGAATGAATTGAGAGAGTAGTTTTTCTAGTGGAAATATAGTCGTCGGGAGTAAAGTTTATTGAAAAGTATAGATAAAATCAGTTCGGATAGAACTGAGAGATAGCTGAGATTGAAGCCACTTATTAAAGGAATCCAAATATTGAAGAAGTAGTTAGAAGAACCTGCTATAACAAAGGATATCAGGTTAGTTTAGTTTCTCAAATTAAATCTAAGTGTGTAGCTTAATTGTACGCGTCGACTGCCGTAGATTCAGTTAAGATTCCGTCGTTCATAATTATTGAATTCTTCTCATACTCCACTGTATTTTATTGTTCTTAAAATTTGAATAGTATTTGTGTAATTTCTTAATTAAGAAAAGTTAATAAATAAGATTGATTTATTAAATAAGTGGTAATTCATTATGAATTCAACACATTCAGATTTAGATAATATACGAAGGGGAGTTAATAATCTCAGAGGTAGTGATAGACTACGACAACTTTAAACGAGTAATATAAAAAAAATTATTTTTAAGTCAATTTCTACTTAGGCCAACAAAGAAATTTTTTATTTTATTTACTTTTTATTAAATAATTGCAATTAATATATATAAATATGTATATACATATGACAGAATCACAATATTAAGTAGCATAATAGAAAGCGATTTCCTTTCTATATATGGTATTGGACTATTTCTTGTTTGTTACTATTTATTGATTCATAAATAATATTCTCAGAAATTAGGCCATCCAAGGTAGAATTCGAATCCACGACCTTTAGACTAGAAGTCTATTGCACGATCCATTGCTCTACATGGACACAACAAGCAATTTTCCTTTTCATATATGATGTTGGACTTTTATTTTTTTTGTTTGTTACTATTTATTCATTAATTAAATTAAATTAATGAATTAATATTTGAAAAAAATGTGTTTGAACTTGAATGGATGAATAAAAAGTATTTTATTAACGATTGAAAATTTGAATAAGATATAATATATATATATATATATACTAGCTGTACCCGTTCACGCGTTGCTGTGTTTGAACAAAAAGGCAGTTTTGATACCTCAAACATAATTTATTAATGATCAAATGTATACAATAGATCAAAATGAAAATTAACAATATTTATCTTTACATATATGGCATTTGAATATAGCATATGTACAAAACATAGATATACATAGTTGATGGTAGAATAAACATGCTTCTTCACTTGGGATATTACACAATACTGCAAATGAATTTCAATTGAACAATAATTTTGTAATTATTAAATACCATCATGAAATGAAGGATATTTGATGATTGATGGTGAACTTTATCTTAGTAGTGCTTGTAAATATACAAAATTGGTTTGTTTTCCTATCTGGTGCAAGAACAAATAAATTTGATGGTTTTCCAACTCGTGAACACCCAGCGTACAGCTGTCCATGTGAGAAGCATGGATTTATCAGATTTAATCCACATACTTGCAATGATTGTCCCTGTGCTTTGTTAACGGTCATTGCAAAGGCTAGTCGTACAGGAAACTGTAGACGTTTGAATTCAAATGGAGTATCCGTTAGTATCATGGGAATGCGTGGTAGTAGTACATGTTCCCCTTGGTGTTTTCCATTTAAAATGGTTGCCTCAATTATGTTATTCATTAATTTTTTTACCGATAGCCTAGTCCCATTGCATAGTCGTGGTGGATTTATATTTCGTAGAAGGATGATTGGTGAACCAATTTTCAAAGATAAAATATGCGGTGGTATTCCTGAAAAATCAAACGAATTTAAAAATTCTATTGGATAATTAACTGATTCATCGTGATTGACAACAGTATCTATGGATTTATATGTTGTTTCTTCATTAGGTATTTCATTTTGAATTGTGCAGTTTATTAAATTCACATCAATGTTTTTTTTTTGGCTGCCAATATTGCACGCTCACTAACCCATTGATTATTTTTATAATTCTGCGATAAATTTGGAAAAACTTTGGCAATCAATTCATCAGTTGATTTTACACTGTGACAAAAGTTTTTTGGTATTGTAATACAGTGTGTGGATTCGTCCATTTCCATTTTACGATTCTTAATATCTAACCATTGTTTTGCAAATCGTTCAGAAGATTCATCTTGTTGTAATTGAACACGCATATTGGTCTTTAAAGATATTTTCTCCACATACCGCCATAACACCGATGATTTGAGACATGCATTCAATTCATCTGCAGGTGTTGAACGTGGTATAACTGGTAGAGTTTGTCAAAAATCACCAGATAGCAAAATGAGGGCACCACCAAAGAACTGCTCATTTCCTCTCAAATCTTTCAATGTGCCATTGGGTGCTTCCAATGATTTCTTGTGTGTCATGGTGCATTCATCCCATATTATAAGCTGACACGATCTTAGTACTTTTCCCATCCCAGAATATTTGCTAATATTACATGTTGGAGTTTCAATTACCTGCATATTTAATGGCAATTTCAATGCTGAATGTGCTGTTCGCCCTACTGTCCAAAAGAGTTGCTGCAATACCAGATGATGCAATAGCAAGTGCAATATTATTTTGTGATCTTATACTGTTGCCAGGATAATTGAAATAAGAAAAGTTTTGCCAGTGCCTCCAGGTGCATCTAAGAAATATAAACCACAACTCTTGTTAGATATTGCATTTATAATTGTGTCATATTCTGTTCGTTGTTCTAATACCAATTTCGGCAGATAATTCGAACAAATGTTTGTAATTCATTAACGTTGAAGGGCATTTCTCGTTGTATGTCACGATCGAAAATGTCATTACTATATCTATTTGGAGCAATCATTTTCCAATTCTGTCAGGGATTTGTTGGCTATTGTCAAACATACATCCTCAATTAAAATCAATGCTTCACTGTATATATTAGATGTAAATTGAATGTTGGGATTAGCATTTATTCTACGTATGCGATGTAAAATGTCTTTACTCATATAGTCTTTATATTTCTCCCAAAGATCCTTTCGATTAGCCGGAAAACATATAGTTAGTATGATGGAAAATAGTGTACGTATCTGCTGTGGTTGAGCTGAATTAGAAGCATCAGCAAGTGAAATATCCTATGAGCATCGTTTTCTAAGAGATTTAATTTCTGGCAAGCCTCAAGAAATGTAGCACACACATGGCCATTGACTGTTTTTAATTCTTGGAAAGATGTTGGTCCACGAACATTGATTAATAATAATCTTACGTAAAAGCATTCTGCGTTTCTGCGATGTACAGTGTACAGACGGCCCAATGCATCTGTGGAATATAAATTTAGGTGTCCTTGTACTGCTCTACCTTGTTACGACGCTGAAATTTTCTTGTTGATGTATTCCACGTAAAATAAGTTGGTACTTCAGAGTATAGTAGTGTCCTTGAAAAGGTATCATTTCTACATAATGTGAACAATTCAGTTAATGTTGTTGGTAGTGGTGACATTGCTCTTGCACGTACATTTTCTGATGTAAAATACACACGCTGTCCATTTTCAATATGTACTGCTAAATGAACAACTGTTGGATATCGCTCATGAGTGGAAAATGATAAAATACGCCATACAGCTTCATTGCTACTTATGTAGCTTCTCAGTTGATATTGGGTGACTTCCTCGTTAGATGCAGTTGTATTTCCACTCCAAACACTGCCATATTGCTTCTTTTGTTCACATATTTGCAAATATATTTTATAGCTTTCACTGAATTGCAGTACTCAACATTTATGTGAGCGTTATACGTTTTTAGTAGTAATGGAGAATATGGTACTACCCAACGATTATCAACATCAATAGTATTAGTGAGTACTTTTAGTGTAATGGATTTTCAACCATCTTCGGTAGATCGTCGTCAATAGGGTTGATATCCATCATTGCCTGTAATAGTTTCAGCAAGTCTCTAGGATACCTCTTTGTACACTTTCCATCTGACACACATAGTGAATTATTATTTAGTGATCCACATGGACCATGAATCATATTTTTTGAGACAATATCGTGCAAGTCTTTATCAATTTCAATGTCTGGTATTTCTGCTGAGATGATTTCATCAATTCTGTTTGGTGTTATCTTTTCCATCATCCATATTAAAATATGCGCATGTGGTAAACCTCTTTTTTGTCATTCAATGGAATACATCCAACAGCGCGTCTCTCCAAATACATGGTGTTTCACAATAAAATCTATTAAAGATTTTAATTTTTGTTTAAATACTCGTGCAGAAATATCATGACGATCTGATGGGGATTGTCCAGTTAATAAAAGCTCCTTTACTTCATCCCATGCTGTGTTGCATGTAAATGTGATGAAAAAATCTGGACGACCATATGCACGAACATACGTCATTGCATCTTGTGCATACTCATGCACGTGTCTTGGGCTGCCTGTAAATGTGGATGGTAAAATGACCATTTTTCCCAATTCACTGAGATTGCCATCATTTACAACTGCATCACGTAAATGGATGTACTCTTCAGAACGCAATTTGACTTGATTTAGTCGTATGTAGAGGAGTCTTTCACTTTCTATTTTTGCATACATATCAACAATGTATTGATGAAATAATTGTCTACATTTCAATATATTAATTATCAGCATTCTCACGAATCATCGTTCGATATGCATAATAATTCATAGCACTGACCTTTTTGTTAATGTCCACATTAATTGTCGAATTTCTCTTATTAATATTAAAATGATATCCATCCTTTCCTTGCCAAAATAGAATAGGATATTGTAATGCATCATATGAACGATGAGTTTCTGATACTTGCTGGACTCACCATTTCTACGATGAAGAATTATATCGCAAGAATTAATTCTTCACCATCTATGACAATTGCCACTTCATCGATCGTTGTGCTTAAATATCTTCGATGTTGACCAATAGGTGTTTTATCTGCCTTTATTATTACTTTGTAATCGTCAGATGGCATTTGTTCTGGCGGTTTTAAGTAACTTAATTAATTCATTATGTTGTTCAAACAAATTTTGTAATTCAGCGACAATCTCTCGTTTGTACTCATATTCAGTTGACACCGTCTGTTGATTTGTTCGTCAGTATTTCCCATAAATATATTGAAGATATTTGTGATCAGCATTTGGAAAGGGTAGTAGTGATCCAGCATGGTGATAAATTTGCCCTTGTACTTTAAATGTTGGCATATAATTTGCGCTAACGATATTCATTGCTCCGAACGATGTCATTTGGAAGCATGCATTATACTTGCGTATATTTTTCAAAATTTTTTTTGATTTACCTGAATACTAAAGTTAGTAATGGTTCAGGTGGTGAACGCAAGTCTGGTAACTTTACTTTTCCACCTGCACAGCACATACCTGGTGTTTCATTTTTAAAATTTTTAAGCAACACAATACGTACACTTTTTATTCCATTTTTACAATAATTATACTTGGATGAATACTGTAATTTTAAAAGGGATTGTAATTGAAACCACATAAATTTCAAATCAGTATGTATCGTTCGTCTTGTCTGTGTCCTGCGAATTCGATTCCTTTGCTGCCTTGCTTGCCTCTGTTCACTCGTTTCTAATGATCGAGCAAGAGCAGTGTGAACTCGATCTCTTTCTTGCCTAGCTTGTCTCTGCTCACTTGTTTCTGAAGATCGTTCTTCTCTTCTCCTTTTTGCTTGATTTGTAGATCGACCAATGGCACTTCGCTTTGGTGGCATAATTGTGGGGTTAAATAAAACATATTTCCAATTATTTTCTTCAGTTGGAAATCAATAATATTGTATTAATAATTTATTCTCGTATTAATAATTGCAAATTTTTTTGACTGCATTTTTGTATTTATTA